ATTTTTATCGAATTAGGTCAGTCGCTGCTATGTTTCGAATACATTTATCAGTTTGGTATGTACATGGTACTTAAGACATACTTAAGTCACCTCTACCGGCCGCCTAAGTCTTGCTTAAATTGTGAAATCTTAGCACGCTTCTAGTTACGGTCTTAAGACTAAGAATGTACTTAAGTCCTACTTAAGCATAGTCTGAGACTTAAGTACCCTTTATGTTACGAGCCTCCCCCCCCCCACTTTTTTTGCCAACAATACTTTTACTGTTGCAAATGTTCATTGAAAGGCTGTTTGTCCCCCCTCCCCCACTTTATAGTGAAGTAAAGTAATATGAAGGGAATGTAGTATTGTAAGCTTAAAAATGGATATGGAAAGGAATTGTTATTGAGAAAAGTTTGCCTCTACTCTCCCCCTCCCCCTCCCGAAATAGGATATTCGAGTTTGGGCAATTTACCTTTTTTTTTTGCTTGTCAACTTTTTCAGGTAAGTACTTTCAAAATCGATGCTACGCGCCTGTAGTTAGACCAAAATATATGACATAAAATTCAAAATTTTGACTTTAAAAAAATTACAAAATCTTAAATACGGATCTCCAAAACATCGGAGGTTGTTTAACGTAGTACACCAAGAAGGAATAAGAACCCCTTGATGAACGTCACATTCCGCAGTGTGCTCAAATTCAATGTGTAGATAGCGCTAATGCTCGGATGGATTGGGGGGGGGGGGGGGGGTGACATGAATTTTGCATTGCTATTGGGTGTGTATACTGGAGCAAAAAAATTCTGCCACCCCCCCCCCCCCTTGTAATTGAAAACGCAAATAACTGTTTGTAGAACAAGTTAAAAATACGAGGAACTGAAGTGAATCAACCAGCACCCCTCCTCCTAAATAGGTATTTTTAACGGTTGGAAAATAAGTTATGTATTTTTTTTTTTATTAAAGTGTTTCTAACACAATAAAATTCCAGTTGGCTCCCCCAACATAAGTCCTGACGTCACAACCACTTGTTTCATATACGGGGCACTCCTACTTAGGCCACAGCTGCTATATATGTGTAACTGTGACGTGATAATACGATTGACATTACTGTACAAAAAAAATACTTCCCCGGGGATCATGGGGGAAATTGAACCTGTTTTTTTTTCCAAAAATAACGTAATACATGTAAACTATATCGGAAGACTAAAGCAAAATTGTTATGATTAATTAAACATGATATATTTACGTTTGAAACTGCATGAAGCGGTCTCCAAGAGGTTATCTTTTGGAAAACAAGAAAAATGGTTGAACAGATGAGTAGTTCTATTATAAATTTATAATTATTAATCTTATTTATATACATTTATATCAAAACAAACTTTTACGTTTGCTATTTTCAAGGATTGGCAGATCATAATGGCTTTTTTCCAATCTATTTATGAAGCTAAAGGAAACTTTTTAACCTGAGTTTCCGATAACGTACAGCCGTCAAAAACCGAAGTATCCGGCAACATCAACCGAGTTGACGATAACATGTTTTCAACTAACGAGACGTTTTAAAAGACTGTTTACTAACACTCAATATGGATTTTTAATCTCAGTTTGCTGATCTAAAGGTATCCGATTGTCCATAAAATAAATAGATCAGTTTGTTTGATAGAATAAACTAATTTTGAGTTCTACATAAGTTAAAATATAATGACATAGTCCGAAATTTTTGTAAAATATCATTTGAAAGAGCTGTAGATCTTTTGAAAGAGAGTGATTTGGTTTGTGCTTTCTGCTGCTGAAAGTATAATCAATTATCTGTCATAGATCACAAACTTTGTTTGCTGAAATACAAAATTATCGTTGAAATATGAAATTTAAAATTACCCACATTTTCTAAACATTGCTTTTCTTGCACCGAGTGTCCGATAACAACCGAGTAGCCGATAACGCGTTGAGCAGTGTGGTATTGGGGGGTCTCCAGATAAATAACACCACTGTTACTTCGACCACTCCCCCACCTCAGGTAACCGTACGGTAAAAAAAATCGGGTCTTTAAGCAATTTGATTTGAAAGGTCGCCAACTTACAGTTAGAAAAATAAGATGGATATCTTTACAATAATAATTATCAAATCCCTAAAATATCGTTTACTTTAGACTTTAAACATATCAGATATAAAGTCAAGGCACCTATAATTTATCCACATGAAATAAACGACGCTCAAAAGACAGAGTACTTGGGTTTTGATGGTCACCATACTCATTCTGCAAAAGGATATCATTATCCACCCAAACTATTGCAGAGATTAGGCCATTTCTGACAAATAGACTGTTTCTGTTGCAAAAAATAAATTGCATGATAAAAAATATAAGAGTCCGAAAAATGTTTAAGCTTCTGCGACTGAACGCTAAAGAGCATGTCACGTGATCCGCGCATGGGCAGAATGGTTGCAGATGCGCTTAAAATAGGAGAGGACTACGTTGAAACATTTTCAATACTGAAACCCCATATCATTTCTTATTCGAAAGTTATTCAATTAGTTCGCGAACTTTTTGATCACCCCTCGTATGTCCTTAACACAGAAAACAATCATTTGCAATTGCAAAACATAGATTACCTGATAAAAACAGTTTCACGATTTGTAAACTATGGTTTACAACTCTCAATCTGATAAATATAGTTTCACGATTTGTGAAACTATGATTAACAACTCTCAACTATAGTTTAGATTGTAAATTATAGTTTACAGACGTGATTCTATCTTTATCAACAAAATCTATTGTTAACGTTTTATAACAGACATATAAACTTAGATAATCATTCATTAACTATAGTCAACAACCGTTAAATATAGTTTTACAGATAAAAACTATACTTGACGAATTCTTAACTATAGTTATGGCACGCCAAATTCACAAAAATGAGATAATCATAGTTTCACAATCGCTAAACTAGGTTTATCGGTTGTAAACTATAGTTTACAAACCGTAAACTATAGTTAACAACGTTAATCTATATTTCACATCTGTACACCATAGTTAACGCGATAATCTATGTTTTACAACCGTAGACTATACTTAACACCGAAAACAATCATTTGCGATTGCAAAACATAGATTATCTGATAAATACAGTTTCACGATTTATAAACTATAGTTTACAAACCGTTAACTATAGTTAACGATCTGATAAATATAGTTTCACAATTTGTGAAACTATGATTAACAACTCTTAACTATAGTTTACGATTGTAAACTATAGTTTACAAACGTGAATCTATGTTTATCAACAAAATCTATTGTTAACGCTTTATTACAGACAGATAAACTTAAATTAACATTCGTAAACTAAACTAAACGTTAACGAATCGTTAACTATAGTTTACGGTTTGTAAACTATAGTTTACAGTCGATAAACATAGTTTATCAATTGTGAAACTATGATTATCTCATTTTTGTGAATTTGGCGTGCCATATATAGTTCACGGTTGGTAAACTTTAGTTTGCAGTCGATAAACCTAGAGTCTTTCCACCAATTTTTATCAACATAGTCATAACACCAAATTTTCTATTTTAATAAAAAATTGTGGAAACACTTGTTTAACTGTGAAACTATGTTTAGCTCATTTGCGTGAATATGGCATGCCATAGGCACCATCTTGCCTAAAGGAACCATTGGTATTCCAAATCTAAATAACAAATATAATATTATGGGGATAATATCAATATTGATTCCATGCTTTTCTGTTAGAGCAAAGAGTTTTCTTTACGTTTCTTTACCATATGAATGCACTAGATAAAATGTGATCCAGAATTTTAGCCCAGTAATTTGGAGCAAATATGTCATTGAAAACTTCAATTATACAAGAAGATTTTAAAGACATTTTCCTATATGCATTTATCCCCTTGTAAAACTTTTCCCCCCGACATATTCTTATGTAAATTTAAAAAAAAACTAGCCCAAGGGGCCATGATTTGAATAATCCAGATTTCATCCTTTATTAGAGGGCATAGAGATACATTTCAACTTTTCTGGTTTAGAGTTTCTTAGGAAAATTTTTAATGACGGAGGTTTTACCCATCAATTGAACAATATCAAATCTCCTTGATGCAAAAATGCTTATTTTGTGTCAAGTGTAGCTGAAACTAACCAAGTGATTTTTCATTTGAAGAAGTCGAGATATAAAGTAGACAAACAGACAGACACCCGAACGCTAGACAAAGGTTAACTTTTCAATCAAGTTTACTTAAACTTACAACTCAGGTGAGCTCATAATGTATGAATCTCTTTTGGTATCATTAATCACAAAATGGCCGCATCAGAGGTTTGTTTTCCAACGTACTGAACACAGACTTTGTCTAATTGACAAGCAAGATATATTTGCATTTTCTATATAGTGAAATTGTTAATTTTTAAATTTTTTTTGTTTAATTTTAATTTGAATTGTGATGATTAAACTTTAAGGTCAAAAGCATTTGAAATTCAACAATAAAAAGTTTTCTTACACGTTTTGTTTTTTTTTTGTTTCAACTTTTCTAGGGTATAAAAGTAAACCAAATATTTTAAAACCATTCACAAAGTATTAAGTTGCTAAGTTGACATAATTGAAAAGATGCTTGCTGGTCAAATAAGATTATAGTAAATTAAAAGACTTGTGTAAATAAAGTCAGGATGTGGCAATATTTTTTTTTCCATTTCAGAAGGAACCTCCATTTTGTAAATCATACAGAGCGCTGGGTTCTATTAAGAGGACGATGTCTATTATAACACTTCAATAGAGCGCCCTCTGTCGTTTCCTTTTTCCTTCACAAAGCGCCATTATGAAACCCCAAGAGGAGCGCCCCCTGTGGTAAACTTTTTCCTCCACAAACTTCCAACTATATTCGAAATTGTCGGGAGAAAATGATGTAGGAAACAGTCTGTGTGTCTCAGGAGGACATTTTTTAAGTAAGACATATGGATGTGAAAAAAATGTCGACGATATTTTGGGTTGAAGTTTGGGAATATTAGTGAAACAACACAAACCTTTCACTGGAATGTTTTTAATCAAGAAATATACATAATTGGCAAGAAAATAGCCGATTGTCTATTAAATCAGAGGCACTTTAAACAATTAATCATTCAAGAAAAATCAACATCAGTGCATGAATAAATCTGATTGGTCCATCAATTCCTATTCTTTACAATCGCCTTGTTTTATTATTTACTGGCAAGAAAAGCAATTTTCATCAACAATTTTATAACCGTTTCCTGGGAATGTTTTTTTCTTACATATAATATACATTTTATGAACAAGAATTGTGCAATCCAACACTAAAATTGTAAACACTGTATTCCCTGGCAAGATTCGTCTCAATCTACTCACAAACTACATGATATATATACAATGTTAATATTTACAAAATGTATAAAATTACCCTACATGTGAGACATGTTTTATAAACTCACAATTTTGTAATACTTTTTTTAAATTACATGTAAGATTATGTAAAAATTCATTTTTAAAAATTCTAAATTAAGAATAGATGTTCAACATCTCTGTATAATGCAATAAATGCCTCCATCTTATTTGTTTGATTTATTATCATGTTTAAATTAACACTTTGAATTTATTTCATCTGATTCAAAATTGATTCATTTTGATGACCTGCATGAAATTTAAAATTATAGGAAAATTCTAAACTACACATATTACATAAATTCAACGATGCAAATGCATACTTTTTGATATCAATATTATGACATTTTAATATACCCTTTATGAAAAAAAATTCTCGTCATAACTCTCCAACGAATATTCTGTGGTGTTTGTTCTACTTCAACCTGTAACTGATGTTTTATAAACAGTCTTGAGTACAATATAAGAATAATGTCCAGTCTCTTTGTAGAAATGTGATTTTACGTCATAAATTATGCTTGATTCGAGCATTGGATTTCTTTTTCGGTAAGCGTCCATGAAAAACACTAGATATGTCTCAAACCATTAACTATTTGGCGCTCACTGTTGGTGGACAGACGTTCCGATTGCTAAAATCGCTTTCGGAATCCTCGGCAATTACAGATGCCGCCTTTAACTGAATGATGTCGCTGTGCGTAGAAATTCCATTTGACCTTGGTTCTAACTCCTCCTGTTTGATTTCGTCTGGGTTCACGGCGACAGGAACAGCTTTAGGAGGCGAGGGTTCAAAAATGTGTGGTTCCTGTTTCAGCATTAGGTCACTGTCATAGTTCATTCGTAGTACGTCATTTTGCTGCTGCATGTGAGATGTCACGTGATTAATGGAGGGAAGCATCCCATGCGAGTGCCCTCCAACCTGTAGCAGGGCGGGAGGAGGGGAGCTTAGAGCTGCCAGCACGGAACTGTGGGTCTGATATAAGTTGAAATTGGACACACTTGGCTTCATGTCTAAACCTATATAAAATTTAATTATATTTTTAATTCCAAAAATAATATGATACACAAAACATACATTTTGAAATTGTGCGTATTGTGTCTCGATTCATATTAAATATAAAAATAATGAGTATGGTATTTAATGTCGATATCATTTTTACAAAGAGAGAACTATATAATACTTATATTGCAAAATTGAAAAAGATAAGTCAAAATATTTTAATATATCATTTATACGTGTGTTCAGTGCTGAAGAGTTTTAAATAGCACCGGAATCTCTATAAAAATATAAGATTCATTCAGAAAGCTCAAGGCTGTTTACTACTTATAGAATCTACATTCCTGAATATCTTGATAATGTTATCTTTTAGGTGTTATATAATCGCACTTGTTATTTTCGACTGCTTTTAGGTGCCAAAAATGGATTCTTACTCTGCTGAAGTAGACAAATTGAGTTTTAAAAAAATGAAGAAAACATGTACATTCTTAATCTAGAATAGAACTTGTAACTCTAGTTATTCCTTTGAAGTATGTATATTTATTACATGATGTTCTTTACGATGCACGATACGTTCAAAAGTAATTTTCTAACTGCTCATGAAAATTATTATTAATTATTCCATAGAGATAACATGTATTATGTGTTTAGTTTCTGGAACCATCTGTCATTTCTGCTATGAAAATGAAAATTCACACTAAACAATCCATCGTTTCTAAGTCTGCGTTTTACGTCATAAACATTGATGCTGTAAGAAAAACGGTTCAGAATCATCACCTTGCGATAAGTATCTACGAATTTCAAAAGTGATGGGAAGGAAATGTAGAGCGCACCTGTCGAGTGGTTATCGCTGGGATCTGAACGCGCCACGGACAAATCCAGGAGCCCCTGGGACGACTGCTGAGGGAGGTGATAGGAGGAGGTCACCTGGGGCGGGGTGTAAATGGGCGGGGGCAGGGAAGGCTCCGGTTGATTGTTGTGAAGGGAATCCTTGGAGGGGGACTTTGATTTTCCGGGGGTCTTAGGCTTTCTCTTGCGTGTTTGGATTCCGTCTTTCTTCATAGATAATGGCCTATTCACCTGTTACAAAACAAAACATTTGTTTTAAAATTACAAAAATAGACATGTTCAAGGAAAATTCCGTTAAAATTTTCAACAGATCACCATATTGTGTCGTTGTGGAATATTTTTTTTTCAGTTGTAAAAATACCTGATGCAGTTTGTAATACAGGCCGCATGCGTTACAGACTGGCTCTCCCTCGCCATTGCGTCGCCATAGGGTCGTGGTCGAAGTATTGCAATTAGCACACGATAAACCCATCCTGCTTCTGTTGTTATTCTGTACAAAAATATATATAAAACTTCAGATTTTCATGTTTTCTTTCATTATTCTCTAATTTTTGTATTAAATCGAGGAAATCTCTGGGATTTTATCCCTGTTCTTTAAATTGTTTTTCCGAATGCTCCTCTTAAACCATATGATTTCAAACAGGGCTACTTTCCAATCTAGATGTTATGTCATTAAAGTCGGACCTGAATCCTTGTGACTCAGAAATAAATAGATCTATTTCAGATACCCTGCTGGGTTAGCATGCACATGTGAGCACCAGTTAAGATCTTCATCAAAACGCGCGTGTATTTCTTAGCAACCAATGATTACAAAAATCCCATCGGGACCTTCATCGTGGAAAGATATTTAGAAACAAACCAGGAATGAAAACAAAGTTGTATTTATTCTGAAACTCTAATAGTTGGGTGTGTTTCTTCTCTGAATGTGTACATGCAGAAGTCATACTTTATATTTCACTCTGATTGACATGTCGGGGAGATAAGAGGGAATTTTTTGGTGCTATTTCAAACAGAAACTAAAAATAATACTCCCGAAAATTTTATTACAACAAAATTTCACACTTTCAGCAAAACCCACAGATCTTGTGATTTAAATGTCCTGTTTGCCAATCAATTATGCGTTAAAACACTATTTTTCATTAGCAATTCACGTTGTTGTATGCAGTAGCACGTTTCTCTCAACAAATTCTTGAAACTCCCCCGATTTATACCTCCTCTGGCCAGAATTTCTGTGTGAAATTCTCTCTGCCTAAATATCTCCATGTTTAAATAACTCATTTTTAATTTTTTTAAACTATATATTTTTTTAATATCAAAAGGACTTATATTAATCTATATGACATTAATTTTTCACAAATAAAAACCTTTTGAAATAAAATTAAAATGTACTCACAATTCCGCTAAGCTTGTCAAACTTGTTGTCCTCTATCCTTTTGATGGGCGTCGGTGCCTTCTCCTCCTCAGAAATGGGGGACTCCTGCGGAGGAAACAACATGAACTGAGTATAAAACAGGAATTCGTCCACCTCCATCCCCACAAAGATCAACTCAAAACTCAACTCGGGACACTACGGCCCTCAATATCAGACTCAGAATGTTCGTTCAACTGAGGGGTTTGAGAAAAGTTTATAATTTCTCCCTCCCCTTCGAAGAAATGTCGAGAGGCAGCACTCGATGGTAAACTTTAGGGTTGAACTGAAATTTAATACCCTCCATGTGGACTTGCATCTCTTTAATAACCTGGGGCGCCTTGCGGGGTATACGTAAGGCGGGGATTACAAATAGAGTTTACACCAGATGTTTCATCATTAAATAACGATCTGTGTATAAGCATGTATTTCCTCAATGAAATGAATGGCAGCAGATTTTTTTGAGTCTTTGATTCCCTAGCTGATAGATAGAACAGATATCGGTTCAAAAAGAATTTTTACGCATGGCAGAAATTTTCAGAACTCAACACTGCGACTGAAATTATTTTTTATACAATGTATATAACGAATTATATGATAACAAGATTTCGTTACTTGAACTTTGGCTTTGCAATGTCATAAAATGATATTTAAGACAAATGATAAAAATTTCGTTTGGTTTGTTATATGTTCTTTTTTTCTGCCAATATATTTTGAAAATAAAAGTGCGATATGGAAAATACTACATAACATTTGTAAATTTTCTGTTGTTTGTTGTTTTCAGGTTCTGAAAATCATAAGTTATAATTTTAAAAAAATCACAAAAATAAATTGTGAATTTTTGTGTTAAGTGAATATACCCATGTTACTTCGTAAGTTTCATCATTATAGTAAATCTCAAATTTCAATATTATTAGAAAATACGAGAGAAATAGACATACGTGTATCTTTTTACACAAGACTGTTCTAAGATTTCAAAGAACCCTTGGATCATAAAAAGATGCAAGAAATAAAAATTGTAACCAAAAAAAAAATCAGTTTCAAACTCCATTTTGTGATGTATTCAATTTACATGTAACCCATCTAATAGTTTTATTGATTATTGTTCCTGTCTGCATTGGTAACAGAGATTTGTTTATGAATACATTATAGAACAGTCAAGTTTTACAGTAAAGAAACATTGATCAACTGGACACATGTAATATTTTTTTTTCTTTCAAATTTCTTAAAAAAGAATTTTCAAGCAACAATTCGACAAGGACACTGTTAGACTTGAAACTAATAGGTGTAGACTTGTTGATTGTTGTCCAACCAACTAACTTTATTTATTACCTTGCAATGACATAATGCAAATACTGTTCGCATCATTTAAACAAGCACCTTTACCCCATATTCCCACCACAAGAACAAATCAAGTTTTTGGTAACAAAACAAAAACTATCTGAAGAATCAATTGACAGACAAGCATGTTTGCCACAGTGATCAATACCCCTATCACGGACAGACAGACAATTACTTAGTGAGAGATTGAGCTTCCAACATGGACAAACAGACAATTATTTATACTAACAGAGCGAGCTTCCACCACGGACAGACAGACAGTTACTTACTGACAGGATGAGCACCCACCGCGGACTTACTGACAAAGTGAGCACCAGCCACAGACAAACACACAGTTACTTACGGACAAAGCGGGTTCTGTGAGTGCAGTCAAGGCCCAGACTGGAGGTTGTTCGTCATTGAGAATTTGAGTTAAAATCTGAGATCAAAAAAGGCCAGAAAATAAGGAATTACACCAGGACTGAGACACCATGCACATCCCAACACCAAACTAAGAGCACCTTTTGGTTCAAGTGTAGAAAAACCAGGCGTTTATGATTTTATGATGAGCTGTTATTGACACAAGAATTAACTCCTAATAAAAACGCTGCAATGTTCGGATAATGCCTTGTTTAAACATACTGAGTATATTTACCAAACATTCCTAAATAGGTTGGATGTCTGGGATATTTGAAAAGTCATATTTGCAGGGCAATGAAATGAGAGTCTCGATTTCCTGAATTTAGACTGATTATTTGGTAATTGAGCTTCATGGATGACTGACCTCGCGGTTGGGTTGTTTGACTGGAGTTCTTGTCTGTCCCGGATTCATCTTGTGGAGCAGTCCGCAAGCGTTGCACAAATAATGGCCGGTCCCGTCTCTCCGCCATAATGGAGTAGAAATGGCGCCGCAGTTGACACACTCCCGACACTCGTTATTGAAGTAGTCTTGTTCTTCTGTTAAAAGGAACATTATAATTTTTAATTGCTCATGCAAATTCCTGTAAATATTCAAGTATGTACTCTTTGATCGAAAACAGAATTTCTCTACCAAAGGTCACCCAGGAAGGGGTAGTTTTCCATGATGATGTTCATTACTTTAATCCCAACAAAATGTTTAAATAATCTTCTGTATGATTAAAACAAGATTTTTACAGGCTTTCATAGAGAATTCAATACCAGAAAGAAGGGTATGTAATAGAATGTTGATTTGACATAAACCATTGCCTCATTCTGCACTGAATGTAATCATGGTGTCTTATCTTTCGAGATGTCCGCGGGATTGAGTGAGATCTTCGCGAGAGGTGTTTTCCTAATCAGAATATTTCACGGGGAGAGGAACCTACACATTGGAACTAATCCATCTATATCGAACCCTGTAGTGATCTCTCACAGGTGCATAAATTTTAATTCCGTGGTGATGTAATTTTTTTTATCCATCTTAATCAAATGAGTCAAATTCGACACAAATCATGTGAAGAAGTTCGATATAATTTACTCTTGTTTCTTCCCAAAAAAATAATTACATGTTAATGATAATTTACAGGTTTTAAGTTTCAAATAACATTCACTTATCATAGAGCAATAAATAATACATTTCATTTTATTAACTAAGAAGATTTAAAAGTAAAATTGTTCGAAAAAGCTGTTTTCTAGACAAGAACTCAATTTAGTCCGACATGTTGCCGTCCCACCCATTTTATTTAACAAACACGCCACTTTTCCTTGAAATTTTAATGAGAACTTTTGAAGAATTTTTCGATTTTTCCAAGTCGTGATCGTGACAAGTTCCCGCCATTCTGACAATGACCTCGTGTTGCGTCGTCTGCCGGGGAACGCATGTGGTGAGCAAGCCTAGTTCTGATAAGCAGGGAGTTTACATTTATACGATCAATTGATTTCCGCGCTAGAAAATGTAGAAGTTTCATTAATATGTGAGTGTTTTATAAATCCGAAATCAATAGCTGGCACTGTTTGGTGTTTAGACCCTTCGTCTACACAGGTGACTCAATATCCTTGCCACGAAATTGTATTTTTCAACCAAGCTTTTAAGCTTGTCATAGAATTCAGATATTACTTTGAGAAAGAAAGTATTTATGAGAGATCGTAAATTTAAGAATTGATTAATAAAAGAATATAAGGAGAACGAGGGTAGAAAATATATCAGAATATTGACCAAATGTTTACAAAACTCTACAAACGATTTCTTGGTTAAATCATTACCAGATCTTCGAAACTTTTAAGAAATACGTGTAAAATTCTTGATTAAAGCCGCGAGGACGTTCTTAATATTTTTATATAGACCGGAGGAACCGTTATTTAATAAAACGATCTATGATACTCGAATTGAAAAAAAATATGACAGTATATGTTTATTTTCATCTGTTAAGCCCCTTAATATATGTTTTTATTTCAATGTCCAACAGTATGTGTATATTATTTACCAATTAATTAAGCTGAATTAATGACAATAAAGGAGAAAATGGACTTCCTTGCCTTAATCCAATATTTTTTGAAAACAATATTTCATGTCTATTTGTGTGTTTTAGATAAAGATCAAAAGATAGAATTTTTCTTTGTTATGTGCATTACGTTATCTTATCTGGGAAGTTATTTTAGTCGTATATATCGTCATAATGTAATCTTTGTCCCCATCCGAATCTACAGACATAAGGATCATGGGGCAGCGTGTCAGGACGGGGTACACAGAATGTGTAATATTGTTTATTGTACTCAAGCTGTCTTATCAATGACACTTGTGTGTACACAAGTACATGTAGTTGCTTGCATATAAATACATTTGTATAACATATCTGCTTCATTTTATTAGCAAAATAGCGAAAATATATAATTTCATAAAAAAGGAAATCATTATTTGTTCAAGTTAACACTATAAACAGGGAAATAAATTGTCAGATATTAAATACACATGTTGCATTTATTAGCATTTGTATTTCATACCTAATATTTCAAAGAATAAAGAATAAATTTAATTCCTGAATGAAAATTGCTATCCGAAAGAAATTTTATGCATAAACTGAGATTCTGTTAAGTTTAAAAATTATACTGTCAAGAATAGGAAAATTAATGAAAAAAAAATGTCGACTATACAAAATAAAAATTAACTTTTAAAAAAAAAGATAAAACGATAAAAAATACGAGGGTGACGATTACATTTTTATAGTGAAATAAAAATAGGTGCCTGTATTTGTATTTTTATGATACATGTGAACCCAGGAATTCAAATGTGCAGTAGGAAGTTAAGTGAACTAAAGATAATAAAGCTAAACAGGAAATTCATAATATTGAAAATCAAAATAAAAACCTAATTTAAATTAGATTTTCCTGTAAGCCATGTTTTACAGTCTCTGCCTTAAACAGCAACTCATTTGGAAATAATTGTTATGTGAATTTCAGTCTCATTTCAATTAAAAGTTAGAAAATATTTTTTTTTCAAGTTTCGGAATACTTTCGTGAATAAATTTTAAATCTTTATTTTTATCTTTGTATAAGTATATACAATGAAATACCTATTGTAGATAAGGAGATCGGGGTATCATATGACGGAGTCAACTTTCAACAGTACTTGAACTTGAAGAACTTGGATCATGAGAGCAAACAGACTCGTCCTTTAGACTTTGAAAGTCCACAAGCTTTCTGTCTCTTCTGGTCTTATATGATAAACAGGGCTGGGATAAAAATGCTCGTTTGTTTGTCTTTCAGATTACAAAGTTGGGCAAGATACTGTTGCAACTACTGTTCTAATAATCGAAATAGACAACGTATTTTTTCTGAAATTAAATTAGATTTAATTCAACCAGAAAAAATACACGAAATTTTATTAATGTACAATGTACCTGTATTTTTAATAAACTATTTATAAACTATGTTGTTCATTTTAATGCCTGTGTTTTTAAAAAAGGAAGAAAAAATACTAAAGTGAAGTTTTTAATTTAATCAATAAATAGAGTACATTTAGAATTTTGTTTTGAAGAATTCCTTTGTAGTCAGAATGGTAACCCAGATAGGCGGGCATAAACTAACACTGAAGCGCTACTTCCCTACAAGAATTAAGGTTCAAAACAGGGCGGAAAACATAAATGTCTCTGAAGAAATGGGTTCTGACTGTGAAATATCACGGTTTCTATGTAAAACACGACTGAGCATATTTTGATTTTGAGAGAAAAAAATTCTGTTTATTCTGAATCCGTTGACTTAAATGAGAATATTTCATATATAAAGATGAGAAAAAAAAAATAAATGTATTGTTTACAGTGCTAATTATAGTATGTTGCATAAATCATGTGATGACTGCATATGTTTAAGTTCTAACATTTTTATCACTTTATGATCTATCAGATTCAATGGGTCTTGGTACAATTAATAACCAACAAACTACTAATAAATTGATTATACGGCTCTCAACGAGCTGGAACATTTTGCAGGGGCGACAGATTTATTGCAGTGTGAGTTCTGGGGTACACCAGGAGCCTCTAATTCCCATAAACTAAAACATTTATAGGCGGGGACGTCACCTTCTGTTTACAGACAAACAATGAAACCCGGCTAAGGCAAATATTCCAATGGTTACATTTTTCCAAAAACGTGACTCCAAAAAATGAAACAATAGCCAGTTCATCAAAAAATTTAAAAGAATATTTATACTCTAAATTTTATTTTATTTATTATGATATAATATTATTCATTTTGGTTGTTTCTTTTTGCTTTTTTATTTTGTATTTATTTATTTTAATTTATATATTTTTTTTTTCAATTTATATTACTTTAAAAATTTCTTCTGCATTTCAATTTTAATATTTTCAAGTTATCACTATTTTGAAAAGGAAGAAATGTGTCAATCAAAAATTCTAAAAATCAAATAAATAAATAATTTAAAAAATTGGTACAACAATAATAAATTAAAAACAACAATTCCCCAAAGAATTAATGTCACTGAAAATATATTCCTTAATCATTGACCACTTGCCCTGACACCCCAACAGACAGAGTTGACAATACATACACTCTTCATCAGACCTTCTGACAACAGTGTATATATACCCGAATCATGTCATCTGGCAGTATGTGTATTATTTTGATGTGTGACATATTGTCTGTACATATGTGACATTCATAGAATTTCAAATAATTGCGTTTCGTTTTTGTTTTTCAAAAATAATTTTGATAATTTAGCAGTTTCTACCCGAGAAAGCGACTATGGGGAAAATCGGCATTGCATTATTTTCCAGAAAGCATTGATGAACGTCAAGAATCGTCATCATAACATTTCCTTTGTTGGAGACAAAAAATGGCTTCAATTTTGTCGGGTCTTAGCGCGTTTGATTTTGTTTTTAAAACAAAACCTAAGAACAACACTGAACGTATAAAATGCCGACTGTGAAACAGCACGATTACTTTGATGTGCATAATATGGCTTTATATCCACAGAAAGAAATTAAAATAGCTATATAAATAAAGATTAATTTACATTCAAAAAGTAAATTTGATTAATTAATATTTCAAACTAGTAAATTTAATGTAGAATGTATTAACTGAACAAATTAATAAAAAAAAGTTCGATATTCGAAAAAGAAATAAATAGAAAGATAAAAGGAAAAACATAAACAATAAATATATTAAAATTTATACATGCACGAAAACGTGTACAATTAATTCTAAAACAGTCATTTTTTTTTTATTTTATTCCAAGAAATTAAAACCCCAAAATTGTATACATATATAAATTAGCATATTATAAATTCAAATATCGTTCAAATTGAACATTGGAGCAATGAAAGTCTATATTTTAGAAATAAATAAATACGTCTGTAATAGATATTTACGAGAACTTCTAAGCAATTCTGAATTTTTATGCAGCAATTCAAAAAGTACCAAAATACAATTTACCTTGTAATCTCGTTTCTTGGGTCAGCCCGTGATAGGGGTTAAATCCCGCCAAATCTTGGGATAAAAAGTCTGAATACGGGGGAAGCTGGCCTTGTCTCAGAAGAGAAGAAATCCCCGACATACTGTCACTTCTAAGTCCAGAATTCACATTGTCATAAGGAGAAAATTTCCCATTTCCAGGACTTCCAGAGTATTCATGGGGGTTTAAGTAGGCTCCAGTTTCTGATGTAGATACGCCGTACTGCCCGGGGGAGCGGGAGGAGGGAGGATACAGATGGGCCATGGAGTGAAGATAGGACTGCCCGTCGGATAGAACTGTTGCGTGGGGCATGCTGCCTGCGTTTGTGACCAGAGACGGTCCGTTGAGAGTCTGATACACAGAGTGGGCCAGTGACATGGGTGCGTTTGTCAGGGTTGTGTAATTGGTCACAGTGACGGATGTACCCATAGGTTCCATGTGTCTGAAGAATGCGTCCACGTCCTCTTTAGGTAACAGGTGCCCGGCGGGGTCAAGCGTGACGGGCTGTAAATCTGTCACCACGGCCGCCGGCTGGAGGGTGTGTATTTCTGTATAGGTAACAGGCTCCTCTGCCCCAGGTCGGACCTCTAGCTCGGGGGGTGGAGGTGTGGGTTGGTCGTGACCCTCCTCACACACGTCTCCGCTGATGCTCTCCACGGCTTTGGCTGTCTCTGCAGCCGACTCGGGGCTTTCTAAGATTTCTGGGGGAGTTTCTCCATTAATGATCCTGATCTCGGACGTGACAAGCTCTGCAATGGACTCTGAACCTGTATTCTCACAAGATTGTCCTGGACTTCTGGACCCTTCCTTTGAGTCATTACTTTCCCGGGATGGAGAGGGTAGATGATAAGTATGAATACCATTGGTTTCTGACTGCCACTGGGTTTCCACCTCCGACATTTTCTACTGTCCAAAAATTGTCATTGAGTGACGACGGATTAGATTTTCCAAGCGTATTGATACAACACCATGCGCCGACCACCTCGCTCACTTCATTCACCTGAGATAATTTACACCTGTTGAGAAATAAAAAATTAAAATAAAACCAGGTTCAAACCATCTTCTGTATACGGTTCCTGGAGTTCTTCTACTCACTCTTGTTCATTAAAAAGCGTGAATGTAACTAAACGAAGAACTCCAAACAGTAGCAAGATTTGTAAATTGACCTTTAAATTCTGGACCTAACAGCGAGCGCTACCGCGTTGCCGCCATAACTATTGGGCTGTCATTCAAAGCCCTTTACCTTGAGTTAGTATACCAACTAGTCCTCTGTCAAAAACAGGGCTTAACATGCCAAAAAAATCCAAGGAAAAATTCCAAATTTAATATTTAAAAAATAATCCTGTAAAAAGATGTAGTCGAAAACTTACCTTGCAGTAATTTTAATTAATTCCATTTTAACAAGATTAATTTTTGATGTTTGATAAATTCAAAGAATTTTTTTGGAAAGTGAGGCACTATTGGAAACCACCCTTTTCTCTGGTGGCTTGATTCCAAAATCCAAAAGAGGGTTTAAAAAATAAAACTATCTTGAAGTGAGCGTTACAGTGGCCGGGGTCTGAGTGAATCTCGATGGTAGATAGAAATCAACAAAACCATAATGATAAAAATTTTTATCACCGATAGTAGCGAAGGGAGAAGGGTTTGATAGCGACCAACGTTACTGCCGACATAATGACATGTTAGCTGTAAAATGCGATAAATCAGGAATATTTCATTACCCTAGTCTCAGATAACAAACCTACAGAAAAAGTCCTGATAGCGCCCTGGTCCTTACCAACCCTATAACGAGATACCAAAAACCCTTATAAAAATTACGACGTGCTGTATTTTTGATCCCCACCTTTGACCTGCGGAAATTTTACTTTCACTCTTTGTAACAATTTTATGGCGCTCTTCCTTGAGCATTTTGGTCTCACTCTGATTGTCTAAGGGTAAATGAACGGGTAGATGGGCTACAAGAGCAAACAGAAATTCGGACTTGAATATAGTTTGAATGAATTTGCCTTGATTCGGTTCGGGACACCAAAACCTTTAGACATTGTACTGTTTAAAGAGTAACATCGATTTGCATGTTGTTTCTTGAACTAATAAAATTGACACATCATAATTTTAGAGTACCCCATAACTTTGTTTTCCTGCACAACTGAGGATTGTGGTCGGTAAATATCGTAAAGGAAGCCATTTACCTGTACTGTATGGTAGTCCAGAGATAAGGCACTGGGCCTCTTGAGATAACGTCTGCTTGGTCCGGTCTTAGCGATAGGAACAGCCGATAAACTCCTTATTCTCTCTCACCAATCCCTCGTAGAAATGTCGTGCATACAATGCCAGGAATTGAAGAAAACTGGTTATTATAAGTACGAATATGACTTAGGTAAAGTGAAGCCATTAGTCCTGGGAAACTGTCGTCTGTCAGCGTCGCCTGGCGCGTGAAGTGTCCAAAGACCGATCGACAGAAACAGGCCTACCAGCTTCGAGTTCCCGCAGACGACAACAAAAACACGCGCTTAATGGTACCCGTTTTTGTACCTGTTGATTTATTTGAATAGAGGTATTTTATTAAATTTTCTAGAAGGCACTAGGAACACATGTAATGTCTTACATCTGAATTCCACTTGCCATTCTAGACACCGACTTCCAATGGTCTTGAATGGCTCTGGTTGGAAGAACGTGGTCCCAGCATCAGTTGCTTGCTAGGAAAAGGACGCATGATTGCACACGAATCAAATTTTTCTTCAACCATTTCTGTCTATCATTTTAATACTTCTAACATAGATAGTTCATATCAAACCATGGACATTTACTAGAAGTACAAAGCACAGATGAGTACAGAGGACGAACTCCTTACACATAGTGACCATCTGTTGACAGCGGTATTTAATATGAAGAAAACATATAAACATAGTTATTAAAACTTTAATCAATATGCATTTGATTTTGTAGTTTGGGGTAAAAGTCTCTGAATTTAAGTGACTATTTAAAGTAACCCATTTTTTGACAGACCAGAAAGGACAACCATCTTATCTAGAATTTGAGGACTTCGAGGTTATTTCCTTGTAACGTTCACCGAAGTCAAGGTCGATTCTGATTCTTACAGCCAAAATTATTTGCTTGTTAGTTTTGTAGTAATATATGTAAGAATTTATGTTGCAGCATATGTACTCAATATGTTCTTAGTTTTAAAATACATGCACTTGTCAGTAAGGCACATGCAATTCATTTTTCATTCTTTAACTTAACCTTAATTTTCTCAAAATAAATAGTTTAATAATACAATAAGAAAAGGGATCTATATATATCAATGATTATTTACTCACTTAGTTTTACTAATGAATAGATAAAGTACAGGAAACGTTTAAATAAATATTAAATTTGAAAAATTGAAATATGTAATGATTTTGATTTACTAGTACCAGGTATACCATTAATATACATAATAAATTATGTATCATAGGTGAAAAACAATATGAATCAATTTTAAAATTCTTACGCAGAAAAGTAGTCGGAACTCGACGAAATCAATATTGACCACCTGTTTTGGTCATTTATCAACAATGATAGTGATAGGAGAATTCGAATACATGTATATTCTTCACGCAAGACACCGCAGTGTATTGTTTGCAGATATCTGACTGGCCCAGCATTGCAAAGTTAGAAAAAAATGATAATTTACAGTTGATTACACAATTTATGTCAGATTAAAATATTCTTTACATTATATAGACCAAGAATAAGTAATTGAATTTATTATTATACCCCCGCTTGAAAAGTGGGAGGGTATATAGTAATCAAATGTCCGTTCGTCCGTCTGTTACGCTATGGGGTACACATCTTTTATCCGCAACTCCTCTTATACCACTGAAATTTCAAATCAATATAACTTTTGAAAAAAAAATGTTAGCAAAACAAAATTTTCACCATATATTTGAACTGGAATATTATACAAAACCTGCAATTTTTTATAAAGTATGTATTGTAAATTAGAATCTATTTAAAATCAAAATTTGACTTCAGTCTGTTAAATACTCAGTTTATGGTCTTCTGGCCAGGTACCCTATGTTGAAAGATGAACTAAATAGTCCCAATATGCAAACCTTGATATGATGTTTTTCTCTTAGTCCAAAAACACTTTTTGCTATATAGTGTTTAGAGCTTCCTTAAGTACAATGATGGAATTTGAGATGGTATTTAAAAAAAATTCTGAAAAGTATGTACATTGTACTAGTATGTTTTTTTCTTTTTTGTTTTTTTTAATCGAATTTATTTTTTTTTCTTTGTTGAGGAAGATGTAAAAACACGAAAAAAAAATAGCTTATATAAAATTTTGTATAATACATGTAAATACTTTTTTTGTTATTCTTATTAAAAGAATTAAATAATTTCAAACACAAACTTTTTCAAAGTCAAACGTCGTCATACTGCTGAGCTAATAACAATGTACAAAATTCACAATAATCAAGTACCTGAGTACTTAAGCAAAATCATCCCCCCTAAAATAAAAAAAATGTTTCTTTGCACAATACTCAGAACAGTGAAGATTACAAGATACCAATCAGTAGATTAGAACTATACAAAAAACCCTTTTGTATCCGACACTATTCAAAAATGGAACTCATTGAAATTAGAAGTCAGACACAACTGTTTGCTAAATTTTTATCTTTACAGAAGGAATATTATTGAATCTCCTAAATGTATTTGTGGTCAAAATGAGGATGTTTATCATTTTTTCTTTGTTTGTAAAAGATACGTATATAAGAGCAAGAAATAATCTTTTTGACAAACTTTTTAGACTGGACGAATCGATTCTAATAGACACACATCTGTTGTTATGGGGTACTGACACTCTATCTTATGATATGAACGGTCTTATATTTTCAGCAGTTCATAAATTTATCAATGAATCTGGAAGATTTAACTAACATTTCAATGTATTAATGTTACTTGTCAATATTATATACTTTATTATGTTATTATTATGACAACTGTACTAACTGTATCAACTTTACTAACACCAGGGGAAGAACTTGTAAGTTGTAAGAACTTGTTTCTGATCCTTTTGTGTTAAACAGTAAAATATGTTCAAATCAAATTAAATCAAATCAAATCAAAAGAATTTATTAATTTCATTCTAAAATATATAGAGCTTAAAGCACTGAGCTGTAATTCCTATTTGATTAAATGTGAATCCTATTCAAAAATTTGTCATTTCTATTCTATAAATTGTCCTATTGGAAGACATTATTCTCATTCTGAAATATCACACATTTTCAAAAAACATCTCATTCCTATTCGAAGACAAACGTTTCCTATTCGATAACATGTTATTCATATATTCAAATAACACGTGATTCCTATTTGATAATTTTGTCATTCCTTTTTGATAATTTTGTCATTTTTGTCATTCCCATTCAATAATTTTGTCATTCCTATTTGATAATTTTGTCATTCCTATTTGATAATTATTTCATTCTTGCCATTCCTATTTGATAATTTAGTCATTCCTATTTGAAAATTTTGCCATTCCTATTTTAAAATTTTGTCATTCCTATTAGATAATTGTGTCATTCCTATTTAATAATTTTGTCATTCCTATATTTGATCCTTTTGTCATTCCTATTTGATAATTTTGTCATTTTTGCCATTCCTATTTGATAATTTAGTCATTCCTATATTTGATAATTTTGCCATTCCTATTTGATAATTTTGCCATTCCTATTTGATAATTTAGTCATTCCTATTCGATAATTTAGTCATTCCTATTTGATAATTTAGTCATTCCTATATTTGATAATTTTGCCATTCCTATTTGATACTTTTGTCATTCCTATTCGATAATTTAGTCATTCCTATTTGATAATTTAGTCATTCCTAGATTTGATAATTTTGCCATTCCTATTTGATAATTTTGTCATTCTTGCCATTCCTATTTGATAATTTTGTCATTCCTATTCGATAATTTAGTCATTCCTATTCGATAACTTTGTCATTTCTATTCGATAATTTTATCATTCCTATTTGATAATTTTGTCATTCCTATTCGATAATTTAGTCATTTCTATTTGATAATTTTGCCATTCCTATTTGATAATTTTGTCATTCCTATATATTTGATAATTTTGTCACTCCTATTTTATAATCATGTCAGTCATATTAATTCGATAATTGTGATTTCTATGCAATAAGCTTTTACTCCTTTTCCTATTCGAAAACATAGGATTCCTATTTCGCAATCTTGTTATTCTTGTCCTTTTTTTTCCATTTTTTATGCGATTTTTTTTCAACAGTATTCTTAATCAATGGCTATTATGAAAAAAAATAGACCTGCTTAATCAATCGAATAAGAAAAAACAAGATTTTCGAATAGGAACTGTTTGCTTTCGAATAGGAATGATATGTTTTCAACAAGAATAATATGTTTCTCGAATGAATGATAAAACATTTAACAATTAATAAGATGAAAACAAGACAAAATTATTAAAAAGGAATGACAAGCTCGTCGAATATAGGAATCATGGGTTTTCGGATAAGAATAACAACATTTCGAATAGGAATTGTATATTATCGAATAGAAATCCGATTTTGTCGAATGGGGATGATTTGTTTTAGCATATAAGAATAACAATTTTGTTGAATAGAAATGACAAAAAAGTTTTATAATGTAACATTTAACAAGGAAAAAAGGGTTTTCCTCACTGTTTAAAGAAATGCACAGTTGTTAGTACATGAGAATAATTATCATTTTTAAAATAATCAATGGTTATTTGCTTAAACATTCAAAACATGCAAGCAAACAAAACGTAGTCAATGTACACGAAAACCAAGAAATTCAAAACAAGGAAGTATATAATATTCATCCAGTATTGTATATTTACTGTGATCCTGCCTTATCTAATGTACATGTTTGATATGATGGTATAATTCTATAATTTTGTATTATTGATATGTTTAAAATAACGATATAGTTCACACCTATATGAACTTTATGTGCTTTTTTCTAATATACAAGTCATGATTTTGAATAACTTCAAAATCTTTTTGAACAAATTGATTTTTGTATAATACTTTACATCATTGAACTTTTTAGTTTTTGGTAATGAACAATGCCATTATAACGAATAGGGGACAAGAAGTCTCCAGACGTTCCTCAGAAAGTTAAGGGTTTTGAATTCAGAGAAATCAATAATCTTACGTAAAAACTGCAAACACGAGTTTAATTACTTAGAAGACAAAGAGGAAGTTTTGAAAAGAAAACCAAATTACACCAAATTAAGGAAGAGAAAGATAGTGAACCTAAATCAAAAGTAGTAAAGAAGTTTATTCTTGTAGAAAAATCTAATAAATTAAAAGAGCAGGATTTTTGTCTTGTCTCTTTTACAATTTGAAACATGTGGAATTTTGATTCGTGGATGGAAAAGGAAATATGGCAGGCATTAAGGGACCGCAATCCATATGCTGCACACTAAGGAGTTTTAATTCATAACAGTAATTTAAAGGAGGGAGGTGGGAGGGGGTTAAGAGTCGCCTGCCTTTAAATACAATGTGCATTTACATTATGAAAGAATTGTCTCAATGTCAAAAAATAAAAAGATAAATGTATGCAGGGTCATTAACCCCCTTACCCTTAAAAAAATCCGGAAAGAAAAATAGACAGAAACGGAAAAAACTACTTTCATAAAATCAGAAAGATTAACATAATTTTGTCTTTTCTTGATTATCTCCTCTTGGAAGGGGACTTGGCTTTTCATTTTAACAATTTTTCTATTAAAAGAGTGCTTTGTGGCAAGTTTGGTTAAACTTGGCCCAGTGGTTCTTAAAAGTTGACAGACTGACAGACGGACAACCGGTGATCAGAAAAGCTCACTTGAGATTTCAGCTAAGATGAGTTTTAAAAAACCGTGAGGAGGAGGAGGATCTCAAAACCCAAATACCGTAAAACAATATGTCATGCTTATTAATTATATATAAAGTTTTCGAAATGACGGGATTGTTCAAATCTCTGTAACATCAACTTATATGTGAGTAGCCTGTTTCGCTTTGAAAATTGTCTTACTCCGAGCATGCTCTTGAGTATTCCTACAAGTGAAAGCCTCGGTTAACGTGCAGGTAGGACGCTCCTTATAGCGGAATACTAGTATCACTACATTAAATATTAATAAGGAAAGAGCTTGGGTTATCTCGTCTGTCATATAATCTAATTGTAAGTTGGTACTTGTCGTCGAAAGTCAATAAAACATCTAAATATGAAGCAGATGTGACAGACTCTATGATGTCTTTTATTTCAAATTAACAGTGATAAATGAAGTCTACATGTAAATGGAAATTACTATTGTTAATTGATAAGACATAGACTATATACTAGTATCTGAATGTCGCGTTGAAGGCCAGACAGTGTTTTCTTCTCGTGAAGAAGTTTTTGAATAAATTCTAAATATAAAAACTTGTCAGTTAATAAAGGAGCACAATTAGTGCCCATTGAATTTCTAACTGTTTGTTAGAGGACTTGGTCCCAGAAGACTAAATGAATTTCAATGAGGAACCCCAACATCTTTTTGATATTAACTCCAGAATACTTTTTTGTTGAATCAGAGTACTCAGTAACTAACGAAGTAGATTTGTTGATGACCAATCACAAGATATAAAAATTTCCGAGTTCTGTTTGTATTGAAGAAGCAGTTGTTTATGGAATTTAAAATCCCATTTTTTAATCTATCGCGAGGAATGGTTGCAATAAGTGTAGAAAAGTCTTAAGATTTGATACTGTGACTTTTGAAAACAAAATATAGTTTCTGAGGATCAACATCTAATTTCCACCACTTCTAGAGTATGCTGTAGCGCAGTACGTCTGAAGTTTCTCTTTAAAAGCAGTTAATATTTTAAGGTCAGAAGAGACGTTCCTCAATATCTGTTTTGTATATCTTCGTAATGTTTGAAAAATATTCAAAATTTCAATAACATTCTGATTTTTAAACCAGTTTCTAAACGTTTTTAAAAGATCCAAACACAAACATTTGAAATTGGAAATTTTTTTTTTTCAAAAAGGATGATATAAGAAAAACTACCCCTGGTATCTTGCAGAAATGCCTGGTATTAAGGTATTTCAATTTTTTGTGAGTAAACATGTTTAAGTAGCAATACTTCAATAACAAACTCTTGGAAAATTTTATCTATTATTAAGGAAGGTCTCGTCTGTCCTTAATGAGTAAAAATAGGGGTTTGCTGGACCCGGCAATAAAATCTTTGATTTTCTGAAGTGTAATAATCCAGTATAGGTAGGATAGATCAAACTCATTTTGGTTGACTGGAATGTTTTAAACAGTATGAAACACTGCAATGTGATTTTGAAGAATTTCCTCCTTGGGAAGTGAGCTGCGACTATATGTCCATGTATAAACACAAAATTTCACAAATACAGGAGAAAATACATATATTTCAATCAGTCGAACCGGGTTGCATGCATATCAGAGGTATAAAAATCTTCCAAAATTTAAACATGAATGATAGAATAAAAATGATTTCAGAATTTGGTTCTTCCTTTTGTTAAATACCTAATACAATCAGAATATCAACAGGTCCACTCATCTGGTCGTTTCGACTCCTAACCTGGAACAAAACTGTTATTTTTGGCAATATTCCTGAGAAAAAGTCCCATAGCCAAAAACAATAAAATAATAATGTTAGTAAGAAATATTTATTTTTAACAATCCAGAAAAAATCCAGTATTGTTTTCAATTATAATTTTAATATTAATATAATTACTGTACTTTAAAAAAGAAATTGTCAGAAAGTACATTTTACACAAATACTTAGTACATAGGAAATTATTATTTTTGAAGAATTATTGTATGCATGTACACATTTCTTCTCCAACATGAAAGGGTGAGTTAAAGGTGCTTGTGTATCTGTTATGAAAAAAAAACGTCCACAGGTTGGAGAGTCAGCAAATCAACTGTCATATGTGGATGACTCCCAGCTCGTCACTGCTCTTCTCCACACAACCAGCAAGATGGTTTTTCTGCAGTGTAAAAACAGTCCCGGTAAAACTATTATTCTGATTGTGCAGGAAATCCTTTGCCAATGCCATCATCTCGGGTTTTTCCGTCAGAGGTCGGTTGAGGTTGTTTTTCTGCTAGTCGGAAAGGACCGAGAAGTTGCGATTGATCCTTTGCATCCAATATCTACAGGAAATACGATTCACACTCTCAGTCCTCTGCTGCGTACTTCAGCTGCCGGATCTTGAAATTGTTTTCTTCCTAGAGCAATGTGAGATTTCTGTTTTTATAAATCCAAAGCAAGATGTGGGGCTAAGGTCTGGAAACGCCAGTCGTCGACCAAGGTCCATCCACATCTCCTAGGAAGCTCCTGATCTTGTTTCTGTGGTTAATTGGATACTTGTGTTTCACCTTGAACAAAGTGGACAAAATGGTTCATCTTTTTTCTGTCCAATCTTTTCCCGTTCCTTTTCTAGAAGATTCTAGAACCTGCCTTGTGTTAAAGCAACATTGCAAAATGACAAATGGCGGCGGTGCTCTAGAGTTCCTGTCTGTCTTCCCATATAGCTCGGTCCAGGTTTCCTGTAAAATCCTACTCGATCGTGCAGGATTGTTGTTGATGAAAGAAGATCAAAAACAGATCTTGCCAGGAACTCTGAGAAGTTATGAACATTACTCCAATGTTAAAAATTGGCAATGAAGAAGCACTTCAAAGTTATATGTCAGTTTTGAATATTTTTAATACCGGTATTCCAATCAACCAAATTGAATTCGAATTACCATATCTATATTGAATTCTGAAACTTCATAATAATCCTCACAAACAAAGATTCATAGTGGGTTCCAGTAAATGTTCTACCAAGCCTATTTCATTACTCCTCACTTAGATATTGACAGTATAGCGAAGGAGAAACTTCAAGAGTACTGCATCCTCACAACGTCAGGGGTCCTGAGTCAACACGTTGTCCAACGGCAACGTGTTGACTCAGGACCCCTGACGTTGTGAGGATGAGAGTACTGTGCAACAATATATTCATAAAGTGGTGTAAATCCGATGTGGATGCTAAAAAATTCCAACGGAGTGAACTTCTGGAACATTTGAAATCACAAAATGTTACTAAAATCAATAACACACAAACTTACGACTTTTCAATTTTATATCTAACTATTCCCCACGATAAATCAAAGTTGTGGCTTTCTGACATCTTTGACAGCTGCTTTTTCAGTAAAATTGAAACTCGTAAAGTTATTTAACCTTGGCATTGGTCATTTGCAAAATTACTTTTTTTAAAAACAATCTGATTGTATACACAAGTACTGTGAAGTTAAAATAAAAAAGATGCTAGAGTTTCTGATTGACAATGTCTACAATGTACAATGTATATGGTTTTTGGAGACCAGGTCTTCCAATAATCTATTGGAATACCAATGAGTACCACTTGTGCCCTGTTATTAGCAGAGCTGTTTTTGTACTCATATAAAGCAGAATATGTTCAAAAGCCTTTACGTGAAAAGAAGAAAACACCCGCTGTGCTCTTATATCGACACGATATATCCAAGTGAGCTTGAAATAATAGATACCGCTGAGTCTCACACATCTGTTTCAAATTTGGATATTTTACTACCAAAAAAAGTTAATGGTTATCTAACAACAACGCTTTTTAATAAACGCGATGACTTTAACTTTTCAATCGTCAACTTCCCTTACATTAATGTCAAATGCTGACTGACTTTTTTCATACTGATTGTTAGACCATTACTTACATACTGGGTTGTCGACGTATTTTTTTTCCATTCCCCCCCCCCCCCCGAATATAACAAAGAGTACACGGCGGGGGTGGCCAATCGACAGGGGATGCACACTTCTTCGTGGCACCAGATCCCACCTCTGTTATTTTGGAGGCCCGTGTTTGTCCCGCTGATAGTTTGTAATATTTAATGGACTTTTGAGCTTGAATACTGTTCGTTATCTCCAACATAGGCACTTGTTTCGGAAATAAAATTTTAACCCATAGTATACCATGGGTTGAAAATTTATTACCGAAACAATTAAGTGCCTGTGATCTCCACATATTTCACCAAAACTTTTTCACTCAAAAAATAAACTTTCTATTTTTTCTGATGTTATTCTGTGAAAACTTTCAGAATAATTATTAATACCCGGTATTTGTATTCCACATAATAGCAAAGAAAAACATAAGATTATACTAATTTGACCTGATTTGAAAATTCGTCGGGTTCAAATGCAGCCAATTGTTCTCGGGATCAACATTCAAAAAATGGCAGCGGTCAACCAAACAAAAATAATGTTTGCAAATCTAATGCGAAAAAAAACTCCTAAAACAATATGCAAAAGGTGTTTTTCAGGTATATATACGATGACCTTTGAAGTATAATTTGCACAGTATCATTCAATTACAGTTGCACTTGCAGCGATAGGTCGAATTTCCTCTATGCAAGTACTTGTCGTTCTGCAGGTCGAGTACAATGTCTTGATTTAGTATAGCCATATAGCTTTAAACAGCTAGATAGCTTTATTAAGCTATTCAAAATAGATTTATTTAGCTATTTATATACAGTTTTTCACAAAAATGTTTTTTGCTAAAAATAAAAAGTCGCATGTATTTAACTCTTCATATATTTACTAAGAGGTCTATATTAACAACAACCAAAATCAAAGATAGTTCCAATATTGCAGCTTTGAATACTTTTGAGCAAAAAAAGAATTTCTATTGTTAGAGTAACTGTCCATGGTTTATGCGTGCGTTGAGGCATGGATAAGTATGATTGCTTCTCATTGTGCTGAACTGTTACTAATCAATTATCTTGTTGACCATAATCATGCATAATTTGTTTGCTTTCCTTTATAATATCATTGCAGAGATAACTGTATCAATTGCTGTTATAGCCCCAAAATTTGTAGAACTTTGAGTACAAAGTCTCTCAAGGAGACGTAATTTGATAAGTGATTTTTATATGCATTATTTTTAGAAGAGTTCAAGTTTGTATATCATCACTGCACCAAGGTGTGCTTTTTTGTACATACTGAGAAAACTGCAACTTTAAGAAAAAAGTGTAGTAAAATAGCTAAATAAAGCTATTCTGAATAGCTTAATAAAGCTATTTAAGGACAGATGATACAAACAAATTTTTTCTTTGAAAAAGATTTAATATCATGTCACAAGTTTAGAAAAGTGGATGGTTCTTAGAATTTTTTCTCCGAAGAACTGGAAAATGAAATAGATTTGGAAAATATTAGTAATATTTCAATAAAGAAACAAATATAGACAAATCACATTCAGTAAAGGTTTAAATATTTTTCAAAGAAAAAAAAAATTGTATCATCTGTCCTTAAAGCTATATAGCTAAATCAAGAGATTTTACTTGACCTGTTATGTCTCATCATGCTGATGTCCTTCTGTCCAAACCCTTACGTATAGTTGTGTCAGTTTAGATTTTAGTGCTACTTCCGAGCAAACGTTTGCACTGAAATAAATGAACTTAAGGATAATAAAGTTGATTAAATCAAATAGACTTAGATTTCCTTTTTTGTAATTTTTTTATAAAAAATTAAATTAAATTTTTGTAGTAGGTCCATTGGAATTAAGTCTTGTGATTACCTATCTTGCATGAATGAAATACTACTAAGTATCAAGGAATCATACCATAGGCATGTTTCGAATGCTGGATCTGATCTTCATATTCTAAATCTGGATAAAAGATTTTAAAGCAGATCCATTCTGAAGTCTTTATTTGCCAAAAAGTGACAAAACTAGCATGATGAGGCATATATGAATGCACATTGACAGATTTGCTTCAAATATTTGCTCTTATCTACAATACAACATAAATGATCAGATTAAAGTATCTGGAGCATGTCTTATCCTGGATGAATTAAAGAAGGTTTATATTTGAATGATTCATCTATTATAGTATATGTATGCAAGCTACAAGCAAAGGATACTGTAGACTGGGAATTACTTTGATGGTTTCAGAGTGTTCTCTATTATTTTTCTACTGAATTGAATCCTAGTTTATCAGATCACACAATAAAGTATCTTTCACATGCTTAGAAATATTGAGAAGAATTGCAATAAGTATCCTTGTAACAAATTGTGAAGTTATAGATAGGTGGAATGAAATTGATTTACATTATGTCAGATAGAGTTAAAATATTAAATTACTGAAGTGTTATTTATTTTTACAGTTACAAGACCAGTACAGGTAAGAAAGACCTTTATCTAGTAGTATATTCATTAGTCTATAATGTCAGAGACCTTTGCTGTGCCAGAAAAATGGATGAACAACTAAAGTCAGAAAGTACTTCTCAGATTGAAGATGGTTGAAACAGAGTATAACAAAATAACAAATACAATGTAAGGCATACAGTGTGTGTTCCCTGAATAGGGCCAAAAAATACAGAAATTGAATTTTTTTTAGGTGGCAAGCATGTAAAAAAAAAAGAATTTATTGAAAGTTTATGTTTGTATTACTAAATATGGATCAAGGAAAATAACTCCTAGATCTTGTTTGAGCCCTTTCAGGTACATTAATGGAGTTAACATGTCTTAAAGAAAAAAAAATAATAAAATTTGCAGAAATTGAAGAGGTTTTGCCCTATAAAAGTAGTGATTCAACACAAATTACATAGGAAGAAAAAATGAAACTGTATTGAAACTTAAAAATGTTAACAACCCAATGATGAGGCAAAATTTGAATACTTTTGTAGAATGACAAACCTCTCATTGGTTTTATTGGCTTGGGAAACATGGGAAATCACATGGCCAGGAACTTGGTCAGCAAGGGCTACCCTCTCCTTGTGTATGATGTCAACACTGATGCTGTTGATGGACTCAAACAAGCTGGTAAATTCTTATATATACCAATGCTAAAAGGGGATTAACTCCAATTGGATTGCTGTTAATTCTTTAGATAGTTATGCTTTATAAATGACTAACAAATAGAAAAAATGATTTACATTCATTAGCTAATTTTTAGAATTTTCAGATATATACATACTGGTATTTTCATAATTTCATGCACCATGCAAAACTCTATCAGAGGTCTTTTTTTCTGGGACAAGACTTGGTATGGAGTACATGTAAAGTTTATGTATGCATGCTAAAAGTAATTTTTTTGCTGCTAGGTGCCAAAGCTGCGGTTTCTCCAGCTGAGATTGCGTCAAACACAGACAGAATAGTCACCATGTTACCGGCCAGTCAACACGTCCAACAGGTGTATGCTGGGGACAATGGCTTACTCAGGTAAACAAATGGGAAAAAAAAAATTCTTATTTTTTATACGATATTTACCCTTTCATTTTATAAAATCATTTTTGTAATTTTCGTTCATCTTCACAGAGCTGCCAACCCTTACGATTTTGGCGTAAGGCGTACGAAATCGGCATCTAAAATACGCCTTACGATTTCTCTCGGTATTCTTCCGATTTCATTTTTTCTCCTTCAAAGTTTTTAATACCGGTATTTTCAAAGCTGGCAGTCTATAGTTTCTACATTATAACGTATTTATAATTCTTACAACGTTTGCTTGTATCATCGTTTCGGTTGTAGAAGGACAATCACATTCATATCAATGTATTAAAAGTAAACAAAATGGAAACAATCATGCCTCAGATTGCATGTCCACTTACAAAACATCTTCAGCGTCAGGGAGCGTAGGTGGTCTCTAGACCCTGCCTTACTATTTGTCATTTCAGAATGTTGGCAGCTCTGTCTTCATCTTATTTTTCAACTTGCAGATATCTTTAATTTTTTTTTCAAATATTATCTTTGATAATGTTTCATTATTGTATTAGAATTTGAGTACCAGGTATACATTTTTTGTAGTGTTTAATCATCTCTAACAATGCTTCTTTTTTAGTATTTGAGAATTTTTTTTGTGTAGCAGGTTTCACTTTCTAATCTAAACATTTAGGATGTACAATATTTGATGGACAGAGTTCTTGAAATCTTTTTTTGCTGTCAGTCATTTGGACTGACTGCCATGTGAAGTTTGTCAGTCCAGACAGATTTCTATCAGTCCAAAATAAATTCAATAAAAAGATTAAAAATATATTTGAATTTTATTATCAATATAAACATGGCATCTTTAAACACTGCACACTTCATGCCAATTTGATCGTCATATAAATTTCCTTGAATTCCCGTGGAGTTGATTTTCTTCATTAGTTTTTTTATCTAGTTTGTTTTTCTCACTTGGTTTACCATAGCGCCGTCAACAAACTTGTTTTACCTTGACAGTTTACTGATCATAGTTTGGCACTTGCATTCATCGAAGAAGTCATAACAAGATACAAAAAAGCCTTTGAAAGATTACGATCGGTTGGTTATAAGGAATTCGTACGAAATTTAGTCGGATTTTCTCAAGTTCCTCTGTCAACAATTACCGGTCATTTGGACTGACACAGAACACAAAGTAATCGGTCCTTGGTTGTTTTTATCGGTCTTGCCAACAGGACCGAAAGATTTCAAGAACTCTGGGTGGACATTTTATTTTGAACTAGTTAGCTTAGATTTGATTTAGCACAATTTTTAGCTCACCTCAATGAAGTTGGGGGGAGCTTATGTGATACCCTCGGCGTCGGTGTCGGCGTCCCAGGTTAAGGTTAAGTTTTTTGGAGCAGTTTTCTTTTTAATTACCTCTGAGTCCTGTATTGATTAGACATGCATGGAATATGGTTCTAGTGTGTTTCATTGTACCAGACAGAGTTTCAGATGCTGCAATTTCAGCAAAGGAATGACCAGGTTAATGTTTTTGGAGCAGGTTAACATTTTTGGTGCAGTTTTTGGTGTAGGTTTCATTTCCAAGTAACTATAAGCCCTATGTTGACCAAACTTGCATGGATGATACATCTAAGGATGCCTACTACCGGGCTTGCTTCGGATGCTGAATCTGACCTACATTTTCTGGTTGAGTGAACAGGTTAAAGTTTTTGGTGCAGGTTTCATTTCCAAGTAACTATAAGCCCTATGTTGACCAAACTTGCATGGATGATACATCTAAGGATGCATACTACCGGGCTTGCTTCGGATGCTGAATCTGACCTACATTTTCCGGTTGAGTGAACAGGTTAAAGTTTTTGGTGCAGGTTTCATTTCCAAGTAACTATAAGCCCTATGTTGCCCAAACTTGCATGGATGATACATCTAAGGATGCATACTACCGGGCTTGCTACGGATGCTGAATCTGACCTACATTTTCCAGTTGAGCTAACAGGTTAATGTTTTTGGTGCAGGTTTCATTTGCAAGTAACTTTAAGCCCTATGTTGACCAAACTTGCATGGATGATACATCTAAGGATGCACACTACCAGGCTTTTTTCGGATGCTGAATCTGACCTGCATTTTCCGGTTGAGTGAACAGGTAAAAGTTTTTGGTGCAGGTTTCATTTCCAAGGAAGTACGAGTTCTTTAATGACCAGTCTTGCATAGATGATACATCTAAGGATGCATACTACCAGGCTTGCTTCGGATGCTGAATCTGACCTACTTTTTGTGGATGAGTGAAAATGTTAGTTTTTGATGCATGTTTCATTTCCAATAAACTATGAGCCCTATAATGAGCAAACTTGCATGGATGATACATCTAAGGATGCACACTAATGGACTTGCTTCGGATGCTGAATTCGACATACATTTTTCAGATAATAGACAAGGTAAAAGTTATGGCTGCAGGTCTATTTCCAAAAACTATAAGGCTTATATAACATTGTATAAACCAAACTTGCACAAATGCTGCATCAAGAGATGAAAACTCTCAAATTTGCTTCAGATGCTGGATTTTCATTATATTTTCATGAAGAAGAACTAGTTTAAATTTTTTATGTAGGTCTATTTCAAAGTATCAGATCAAAATTGCTTAAATTTTTCATTTTTGGAATGTATACTTTTTGCTGGTTAATTGTGTGACTTTGCCTTACTTAAAGACAACATTCGTTGAGGTGAGCTCTGTAATCTCTGATTACCTATGTTTAATGTTCTTTTTTAATGTGTATAAGTGCAAGATATTTAGCGTATACTTGAATTAGTGAAAGTTTCTTTCTGTGAAAGGCGTTAAAAAGAATGTACAACTAAATGTAAAACATGTACAGTATATGTTCTGACTTCTGGCTAATGATTCATGCTTTTGCTTTAAGTTGAGAGATTGAAGTCCTATTTTCTCTTCCTATTTTCAGCAAGGTTGTGAAGGGCAGTATAATGATAGACAGTAGTACTATAGACCCAGCAGTCTCTAAGGATATGGCCAAGGCTGCCGAGAGTAAGGGGGCATTCTACCTGGATGCACCGGTCTCTGGGGGTAGGTACAGATTTAAAATTCTCCAGTGTACGTGTACCATCCTACTGCATCCAAGTCTCTTACTGGCCTATACATGAACGATAAACCAACTTATATTTGCATCATCGTTTATTTGTGATTTTTCAGTTTGAAATTAATCTGCATAATTAATTTTCACGAATGAGGAGACATTTTCTCTATAAATACTTAGCAAAATAATTGGTTTGCAGCGATTAATATTTGTGTTAGAGTAGGTCACGGAACTTACAGATATTTCTCGCATGAGAATAATGCATGTAGTTGGTTCACATGCATATTCTCTTGATCTTGACAGGGGTAAATGCTGCTCGACAAGCCCTTCTTACTTTCATGGTGGGTGGACCAGAATCAAAGTTCCCAGAAGCTGAGGCCATATTACAGAACATGGGCAAGAATGTAGTTCACTGCGGGCCAGTGGGCACAGGACAGGTAGAAAAAGATTTCAGTGTAAAATATACAACCTTTTAACAAAAGTACATGTATTTATAATGTGAAAAAAGAAATTCATGTCATTGCAAGTTTATGTATTTACATGAACATTGCTTTATGTTTCTGGTTGAATACAGAAGTAAAATTTCAGTATGTACATTGTATTACAGGCAGCTAAGATCTGCAACAACATGTTACTGGGTATTTCTATGATCGGGACATCAGAAACCATGAACCTGGGGATCAAGTAAGTACCAGTATCTGAAAACAAAGGAGTGTTGAAAACAATATAGAATAGAGAGAGGAATATATGTTAGAACACATAATAAGAAATCTGAAGTCAGGACATTTTGTAAATCTATTTGTCAAAAAATTGTTAGTTACAAAATATTCAAATAGAGTACAATTCCTGATGTGTTTCAGATTTCCAGCTCAGATTCAATTTTTATAACCAGTTAAAAAAATATAAGTACTTTGAAGATTCAGAATTTAACAAATATTTGACCATACTTTGAAGGTTGGGTCTTGACCCAAAGATGTTGGCAAAGATTCTGAACATGAGCTCGGGTCGCTGCTGGTCCAGTGATACATACAATCCATGCCCCGGGGTGTTTGAGAATGTCCCCTCCAGCAATAACTATGAAGGAGGGTTTGGTACTGCACTCATGACCAAGGATCTAGGTCTGGCTAACAACGCAGCCAAGGACACTAACTCTGCTGTCAATCTAGGTCGGGAGGCACTAGAAATCTACACCAAAATGACAGAGAAAGGGTACGGAGGAAAGGACTTCTCTGTTATCTTCAAAATCTTAGAAGAAATGTCAGGCCCAGAGGTGGAGAAGAAAAAGAAGGAATTCTTTGATTAATTGTTGAGACATTCCATGAATATTAAGTTGATCCTGTGAGTGTATATGCTTGTCAAAATGTTTTCTTGCGTGGGTACTAAAGATTTTGACCTGGAAATTTAGCTATAGTTATGTAAAATGCTGTGCAATCAGTTATTTGGAGTATATATGAATGTGATGTTCATTATTTGGTTTTTAAAGAAAGAAGAAGGGAAAAAAAATGACCCCTTATCCATAGGCATCTTGTAATGAACACAATGTATAGTACTTTAAAATCACCATAATCATATTCATGACAAACATGTTAAAGTTATTATTTTGCATTTTTGCACATCTGTGGATTGGAAGTGCACGATTTCTTACTATATATCTTTTAAATTACTTTGTAGAGTATGTAGTTGTTTTTTGTATTTTTTGTGAGAAAAAAAAACTTACTGGTCTACAATCAACTGTTTACAAATGTTTTATGAATTAATGTACTATTTTTGATATTTTCGGTTGTACATACATGTATCACATATAACTATAAGTAGTGATTTTTAGTGCTTTTCTATATTTTGTAAAGAGATTAACATCCAACAGTGTTAAAATATTTTTCCTTTTGAAAAGCATGGAATAATTTACAGAAGTGAGAATGAGATTGATGTGTGACTTCAAATGGTCATTATTTTTTGATGACCAAATTTTCAAGCATCAGATTTTTATATAAGTTTATTGAATTGTCTTTAGTGACATTTGGCTGGTCAGAAATTTCCCACTGGCAATGAAAATACATGTAATGTATTCACAGTGTGCACTAGGTCTGTTTGAGTGAGCTGCTTAAAATAATTGTGTACTGAATGATTTTTTTCCTCATTTTAACACTTTAGGGATGGGAATGGGGCAGTTACTATAGATTTATCCTGATTGATCATGTTGATAGATGCAATCAAGTTTGGACATATTTTTATAAAGAATACTCATTTTGCTCAACAATAGAAGGGAGAATGCATTATGTGCTTAATTTTATTTCAGAAATGTCAAAACAGAACTTTAAAAATAATTTCTGTAGATTGTGCAGTTCATTTAATGTGTGTGATATATGTGCTCTTAATTTTTTTTCTATAAAATACACATATTGACTTTGCCTTGCTGTGATTCACTTTTTGAGGTGACATATCAATACTTATAATACCAAGTTCATTGTATTAAGATACAAATGTACAAAGTGTCTCAGGTCTTGCATTATGTAATTGTGTCCACATAATAAAAGGAAGAAAAAAAGTTTTTCATAAGTCTTTTTTGTGCCAGTTTCAAAAGTACTAGTAATCGAATTATAGGTATGTTTCATAGGTGTCAGAAGCAAATTGTAAGGGGGGCTAAACCAACAAAAAAAGGTAAACCCCATTTTGAATACCTATATTATGTATATATTTGCAAAAAATGTGGGGGGTGGGGGCTAAGTCCCCTAGTTCCAATGCCTATGCGTTTCCATAGCCATCCTCTCGAGTTTAATTCTATGTCCTCCGTAGAGTTGTGTTTATACAATAACATTTGTCCTAGCAATTAATGGTACCATTATCAAGCATACTTTTGCGAAAATTGTGATATGCAGAGAAAATCTATTGTATGGTACCGGTAAATTAATTGTCACATTGGTTTATAAATTGCGATAGTTTTCTCATTGCATCTATACCTTCCATCTACCCAGTATTCAGAATTAAAAGAAAACGAACTTGATCTATTAGATAGAATTTAATAACAAAATCTCAGATAAAATCAATAAAAAGTTATCATTCTGACACAACAGAAGGGAAGGAATGATACGAAACGTTTCAAAACTATCTAATATTACACCAATAAAAAACCATATAAAACAAATGTCACGGTGAGCTAATGGCGTCAAACATTTGTTGTTCATCACTGAGCAAGTGTCCTGTAATATGTATAACTCTATTGCATATACTTTTCCCATTTATAGAAAACCTGTATTTTATCTCCCGAAATATATGTATTAGCTTGATACATCTATTCTTATTACAAATGTTTACAAACTGGTACATTGTATTTCATAACCTGAATTTTCAATATTGAGTCATATTCTGTTCAAATGTGAAAAGATTCTATATTCATAGAAAACTTGTAATTAATCTTCTGAAATATTAGATTGATACATCTATTCTAATTATTGATGTTTACAAACTGGTACATTAGTATTTCATAACCTGAATGTTTTCCATATTGAGTCATTTAATCTGTTCATAGATCTGTGAAATAATTCTATACTCATATCTAATAATAACTTTATTGACAAAGTTATGCTCTATGAACTTCCTACTTATTTACAGTTCAAGGAATCACAAAGGAAGGAGATGCAAGTTTAGGACAATTTTACAACAGGTCACATTATCATTCTGCTCTCATAAGTCAATGTACAAAACAACACAATCATTAGTACATGTATTACATGACGTCCCACAGTGGCAAATTAAAGGGCTTATTATAGTCACAAAAAGTTGGTTTTATTCTTGCACTGGGAATTCAATGATAATGGAGATATAGGAACAGTGATGGAGATTTGATATTTTATACAGTGTCATGGAATAATTTGATGTTGGAAGGGTGTATGTTACAATTATGACTCATATAATTAAATACCCTCACTGGCGCTTTAAAAATTGTCATGGACATAATTAATGTAAAGTTATACCTGTATACATTCCACTGAAAAAATGATAAAATCATACAAAGCTGAAGGCGCTCTCATATACAATGCACACTTTTGTACTCTTCATGCTATCACACAAACAAACACATTTTCTACTCTCACTAATGAAAATGCTAACATGAGGTCACAAAACTGTAATTAATTAAACTCTCAAATATGTTAACAAAACAAAAACCATGTGTATAAAAAAATGACATATCTCTGATACCATAAAACATGATTTAAAACATGAAAAAGTTATTCATGAGCACTTCAAAATAAAATTTAAAACACAAAACACTGAAAATCCTGATATGAAAAAATGGAGACATGTATATTCAAACATCACTTTAAAAAAATTACATTCCTTAGAAGTTACAGAGAAGATAAAAGAGTTTCCTCCACTAAATGAACTTCAATATATCATAAATGATTCATTTGTAACTTGGCAAGCAATGTCATCAAATTCACACAATATGTCATTAGTGTCCATGGGAATAAATCAACTCATTTCTATAAAGTATTCTCCTTCGCAAGATAGAAAGAGCTGTCCTAATACAAAGAAATACAAATACATTTGAAAATAAATTAATTTTCATTAAATATTCTTCATGAAAGCAAACCACAAAATATGAATAAAAGCAGAAAAATATACATGTTTGAAATCAATCAAATATGTAAAATTATCACAGGAATAAATCAGAGCTGAGTCTTGTAAAATGTTCTTGTGCACAACAATATATCTGCCCACAACCATTCAAATAATCTTTCATCAACCACTAATCAAAGGTTAGCTAGATTTCAGCAACCAATCACTGATTAGCTAGCTTTCAGCTACCAATCAAAACAGTGGAATATCCTCCAATGAGAATCCAGTTTTCAGACATCCTTTTCATCATTCATGGTGTATGTGATGACTACAGTTGACTTTTTGTTGTGGTCACTGGTGTCCGAGTGATGGCTGCGTGTGTCCAGTTTCTCATTGGTCACTGTCATGGTGTCCATTGATCCACATCTCTTGATCATCATCTGCCTCATGCTAGCTCTCTCCTTCTGTACTGACCGACTGAAAAAAGGACCAATTAAGAAACATGAAAAAAATTGTCTTATTAACAAAGCCAAAGAGCATCACATAAATGGCAAAAATACATGTATGAAAAGGAACACTCGAGTCAATTAAGCAAATCTAAGATCGAAAAGGTTCACAGCTAGTAATAAAAAACGAGTTTTCCAAACGGAAAAAATATTAATGGAGTAGAGCAGCATGAAAAACTTAGTCAGCAAGGCAACAATACAACAGAGATGACATTTTCTCTCCCTAGGAGTTAAGTGATAAACTATGTGCAATTGTGCATGCTGTTAAACTTTTAGATTGTTGCAATTTACATGTACATACAAACCAAACCAATGCTTCACTGATGTGATTTTTGTAGAAGATGGGTATGTGTGCATTTTTACATTTATTTATTAAATAAATTACAATCATTCTGTGAAAATTGACCCAAAATGAAATACAGCACTATGTCAAAAGCATGGAGGCCATCTTTAGAATACTATAAATCACATATTTTTATGACATCTTATTTCTGTGAGGCAAAATTTTCACAAATTATTGGTTTTATTGCTCTATACTAGTATCATCTTTAATACATGTAGGAATAGTAATATTCACGGGAATGACATTTTTCACAAGCACACTGTCTCACACATGTAATTACGTGAAAGTAAAGTTCTTGTGAATAAAAAGTGATTTACAGTAATGTTTGTATGCCCTATTATTTGATGGGTAGGAGGGAATTTTTTTCACATAAAAATTATAACCTCAACGCTGATTAAACACATAAGTATCCGGGAGGTATAAAAACATTTTTGAGTTAGACAATTTTTAGCCAGGAGAGGGCAACCAAACAATTTTTGAAAGATGGCCTTATTTTCAAGAATTAAAATTTGTGCAAATACATGTATACATATTGGTGAGAGCAGTATTATTGTTTTCTGATCTTGACCTTTCATATGACCTGACCTCACTATTCCACTATTCACATATCCTGTGAAAATTTGGGTATGCCTGAATATATAGTGCAATGACAAAAATATTCAAAGTAATCAAATTTCATTTACGATACATATTTGAAAGAAGAATTATACTGTTGGTGTCATAATCTAATGACCTTGACCTCAATATTCCTTGTTTTGCATACTGTAAACCATATATTCATCACACTGCATGCAATTGTTGGTTTTCAACAATTGTTGATTTCATATTAATTTATTTACCTTGATCTGATCCCTACGACCTTGAACTTTACATTTAAATGACATTTGCAAATACATGTATAACTTGAAACCCCTCCTGTGACCAAATACTAGTCCTGGGGACCATGAATGAATAAACCTTAATCTACAATATTTCAATGATAATTATAGACTCTAGATATATTTTCAATTGTATATATGTATACTGTAAATCACTTTTTATTCGCGAGAACTTTATTTTCGCGTAATTACGCGAGACGGTATGCTCGCGAAAATTTCATTCTCGCGTATAATAGAATTCCTTAAGATTATATAGAGCAATGACCACAATTCGTGAAAGTTTTGTCTCGTTAATAAAGAGTCAATGATTATCTCGCTAAAATAAGGTGTCGCGAAAATTAAGTGATCTACAGTATTAGGGAAATTTAGGAAAGGACTAATTTTGATTTTTAGTTTTTCTAAATGTCTCACTAAAACAATTTTTCTTGGATATATGTCTGTACATCCATAAAGGTAGTTAGGTGAAACCTACTTCATGTATAAATTCTACAGGAATCAAAATATTGCTCAGCATGTATGCATGTAAATCATCATATAAGTTTGCTACAGCTGTGACAGTAAATATAACAAGAGGCCCCTGGGCCACATAGCTCACCTGAGCAATGTGGCTAGAAAAAAAATCAGAAATCAGTTCAGTATTGAAAAGTTTAAATCCATAAGTGGTCCCAACCAACCCTTAAAAGGGAGGGGGGTATGATTTGAACAAACTTGAATCTACACTAAGTGTTTGACTATCTGTGGCCTTTTTACCCTTTAGGTTTGAACTTCAATGAATTTACACTACCTGAGGATTCTTCAATGAATATGACCAATGGGTTTGCTGTGTTTATCAATTAAGAAGATTTTAAAAGATTTTTCCTATATATTTCTATGTGAAATTGCTCATCCCCTGTGACCCCACCCTATCCCCCCCACCCCACCCCCAGTCATGATTTGAACAAAGCTTCTCCCTACCCCCCAGGGGGTCATGATTTGAACAATTTTGAATCTACATTGCCTAAAATGTTCCCTTAATTAATACAAGTTTCATCTTTCAAGATTTTTAAAACATGCCACCAAATTTTTACTTTTTCTGAATTATCTCCCCCTTGAGAGAGGGTGTTGCCCTTCATTTGAATAAACCTGAATCCCCTTTACCCAAAGATGCTTTGTGGCAAGTTTGGTTGAATATGGCCCATTGGTTCTAAAGAAGAAGTCAGAAATGTGAAAAGTGTACAGACAGACAGACAGACGGACAAAGTATGATCAGAAAACCTCACAGGCT